TGGCAAGATTTTCCGATTTTCATAACAAGGACGTGGTCTAGATTTTCATTATGGAGAATGGACTTTCATTTGGAAGGGGGGAGGGGTTTGTATAACAAATTAAAAAAAAAATTAAAAAAAAAAAATAAAAAAAAAAATATATTTTGGCGCCCAACGTGGGGTCCACGCATTGGTATTTATATTCAAACAAACTAAGTTATATGGATTATGGAGAAACTTTCGTTTATGATGTCAATTAAAAAATAAAAAAATTATAGCAAATAGTTTGGTCTCACGTTGGGCGCCAAAGTTTGAAAATATTTTTTTTTCAAAAAAGAAAAAAATTCTATTTTTTTGTTTTATTGAAATAATTGAGTTTATGGCTCTTATTTTAAAAACAAGAAAAAATTAAAAATAAATAAATAAAAATATTTTTACATAAAATGGCGCCCAACATGGATATGTTAATCAAAGATTTGAAAACAGTGAATCAGTACTTGAAAGAAAAATAAATTGGAAGTATCGGCATATCAAAATTCAAGAAAAAATAATTTCATTGAAAAATGGCGCCCAACGTGGATTTTCATATCATTTCTACCGAATTTATAAAAGTGGCGCACTACATTTTTTTTAAATCAATAATTTAATATATTAAAATTATTAATATATTTTTGCAAACATCAATTGGTAAATTAACACGGTTTGGGATATATTTTTTTTCTGAAAAAAAAAAGTATTTTTAAACTAAATGGCGCCCAATGTGGTTAATTTTTTTAATAGAAAGTTGAAAAACGGAAAAAAGTATAAACAAATTTTATTAAAAAAAGACATGGAAATTTGTTAGAAAAATGCCGACAATGTGGTTACAACGTCGGTTTTAATTTTTTAATAGAAAGTTGAAAAATGAAAAAAAGTACCGAATAATTTTTTATTTATTTTTTAGCAAAACAATTGAGAATTTTTAGGAAAATGGAGCCCCAAATATTTTCAAATAAATTCTTCTTTTATTTGTTTTTTTTTTTTTTAATTTTTGAGGCAGCAATTGAAAAATATATACTTTTTAGCATGGCGCCCAACGTGGGGCTTGTCAGTAAATATGTGTTTTGTGTGGATTTAGTTTAACAGGTTTTGGTATTGAGTTTTTCTTCCGAAAAACCTATCTCTGAGAACCTACTTTATGCTCTCCTCTCTGGTATTGTATTTTTTAATCTTTGATGCCTCCAATTTTTTCCTCAAACCCAACAATTTGCCTTCTATCATTCATCAAAACTTTTTTTCTCATCACCCGATTACCTTCAATGTCTCTTTTTAATAAATTATTTTCGATGACTGTTTCATTACGGTATTTTTTTTTTTTTTTTGTATTTATTTTAATTCATTACATTTTTGTTGTTTGTATTTTCATCAAGACCTTGTATTCATTATTTTTTTTGTTTTTTTTTCGAACCAGCAAACCACCAATGAAAAATTAAGGCAAATAGCAACAGCAGCAACAACAACAACAATTTGTTGTACAAAAACATTCAGTATAAAATAATGTTTTATTTTAAGTTTCCTTGAAAGATAATAAAAGAAATAAGCACATGGCCAGTTTTATATAAAACAAAACAGCTACAGCAACGAACAACCGCAACAACAACACAATATCATATACCACAGATAAACTGTTATTTTTGGGGGAGGCCTCATCAAAAAATAAAGAGTGCGAGAGGGAAGTAACCCGAGTGTGGAGGTCTCTGCTGCATACAAAATAGTAGACACACAGTGAACACACACACACATCAACAATTTACTTTCATTTTTCATTTCTTTGCCGTCAACGGCAAAGCACCACAGCACACACGAGAAGAGATGGCAGAGCAAACACAACTCACGTAGGCACACACAATACACCACACTCACACGCACGCACACTCACAAACAAGAAAGGGGAGCCATGAGAAAGAGTCAATGAACTCGTCATTATTGCTGGCTCGTGTTATATAGTACTCATCGTCGTCATCATCATCATCGACGTAGTCGTCGTCGTCGTTGATGTTACGAGTTACACACATGGCCACGAAGAAGTATGGAGTTTGTTTGTTTTGTTGGTTGGTTGGGAGGGGGTGGGCTGGGAGTGAGGCAGGCAGGCAGGCATAACTATTAGGCAATCCAGAAATAAAGAGACTCTCTCTTGCATAGTTTCCCGTTTTTTATTCAATACTCTTCTCAGTGTTATGTGTTGTTATGATGGCGGCAGAGCAAGGGAGTGAGTGTTGGGCTTTCTTTGGGGAATGTGTGGTGTTGTTGTTGGTTTCTTACAATTTATGGCAATTTCCTGTTTAGACGACAGCACGTATTACAAATAATAGAGCATAACTGGCCATACAACATGTGCGTGTGTGTGTGGCTTGGCATTAAGTAATATTTGTTGTTATGCATAATTTATTTGGGGGAAAAAATTACAATCTTCAAATTGTAATTAAATTAATATTTTTAAAATCACAACTTCTCAAGAGATCCGAAGATAATGTAAACAAATTAATTGAGTAAAATATTTTGAAGGTCTATCTGCTCTCCTCAAGATTTGTTTTTTTTTTTATTTTTGCTCATGCATACAATTACTCTGCCCAAAAAATAAATGGCTGCTTCTTGTTCTCAGCGGTCGGAGAGTAAAGCCTGCAAAAATTTGGGTTAAGTACGTTCATTCAACTTTTGGCACCATTTCATAATATTCTGTTTAACGAGACGGACGGACGGACGGATCATGTCAGCCAGCCAGCCAGTCAGTCACTCAGCGTAGCAAGCGGCCAGGGTCGTTCAACAAAAACAATTGTGGCTGAGTGTTGATTTTGTGCGGGTGTTTGTTTTTCAACAGAAAACAATGATGACACAAAAAAAAACTTTTAACATTTATATGGGGCCCCATAATAACAATAAAATTAAAACAACAACAGAAAGAATTTGCTTAAACAATTATGGCGCAAAAACACACACACACGGGACGGACACAGACACCACCAGAAAAATTCAACGAACCCCAAAAACTTGAACTAAATAAATAAGCGTGCGGCTGTTATCGCTTCAGCAAGTGCGGATTTGGCACTCTACTTTCCAGAAAACACTAACAACAACCATATGCAAAAAATTACAAAAAAACGAGATTCAAGCCGGTTGTGAATCACACTCATTGTTCTTAAGCAACGCAACGCAAGAAGTCTTGTCGGACAAATGTTTTCCCGTCTGCCAGGTGAATGAACTTGACTGTGTTTGTCATCCAATAAAAGAACACCAACAAAGTAAATAAAAAACTTGTTATTTGTTTGGCCTCAAAACAACAAAAAAAATTCTGCCATATGCAAAAACACATAATAACAATAAAAAAAGAACGAGCAATCGCCTCCTAACTGTTGTAAACAAAATAAACAAATTTTATTTCCAACAAGTAGCTGTAGCAGGTTATTGAACTTCAAAAACAGCAGTTCCCGGTAAACTAAATAAAAAAAATTAGTTCAAAAATTTTTCTACTTTGGACTTTTTGGATATGTGGAAGAGGTGCTAAAAGGCAATAGAATTCCGGAGAAATTCTAAGTTTAAATGGGGGGAACATTTTTAGTACGTTAAAATGAAATAAAAAGAAAAAATAACTGTGAAAATGATAAGAAAGAGAATTGGTCCTGCGACTTCGGGAATTAAAAAGGAAACTTCTGAAGTATTTCTAATTTTTAATAAGAAAAGAATTTTGGATATTTTGATGCAAAGTAAAATGAAATGAAGAGAAAAAATATAGAGCATATTTATGGAATTTCAAAACACGGTCCTTCGAGCCTCAAAATGGAAAAAAATTCTAGAAAAGTTCTAGGTTCTTCTTAAAAAATGTAAAAAGGAAAAAACTGCAAAAATTTTGACCAAAATAAAATGAAATAAAAAGAAAAAATAGACAGAAAATGTATGGCGTTGATGGAAATGGTCCTTCGACCATCGAAAATTGAAAAAGGCACATAAAAGCGAAAATTATAGAAAAATACTAGTTTTGGATGGAACAATGCTTGAAAGAAATGTTGTAAATTTTTGCAACAAAGTAAAATGAAATAAAAAGAAAAAATAATCTGCAAAATGTATAACTTCGAGAAAATGGTCCTTCGAACCTCAAAATTGTAAAAGACGCTAAAAATTCTAAAAAAAAACTCTATTTTTAATTGGAAGAATTGTTGTACCTTTTTGACGGAAAATAAAATGAAATAAAAAGAAAAAATTCTCAGTAAAAGTCAAAAAATCAAAAAATAGTGTTTCGACACTCTAAAATTAAAAAAAAAAACACTAACAACCGAAAAATCTAAAAATTAGATATTTTTTTGGACAGAAGCAAAGTTAAAAGAAAAAATGATCAGCAAAAGTCAAGCTGTCGAAAAATTGTACTTCAACCATGTAGTGTGAAAGTTTTCTTAAAGGAATTTTTATGAAAAAAATGAGGAAGATGCTGCCATATTTCGTACGGAATACCTTCCCAAAAATGTATGGATTTTTAAAATTAGTTTCAGGGAGATTCATTCGTAGATTTTTGAAAAATGTTCGTAAAAAGTACCATAATATGTTGGAATTTTTCTAAGAATGTTTAGAGAAACATCTAATATGGATTTTTTCCTCGTTGTGTTCGCAAACTCGTGTCTTAAAGGCTAGAAATGGCAATCCTGTCTTCCATTCAAGTTTTTTGGTCCTTCGACCAATTTGTTTAATATAATTGATTTTTTGGTCCTTCGACTTATTAGAGATTTCTTTTTTATTTATATGAGTTTGTCCAAGGCAATCCTGCCTTCCATTTAAGTTTTTTTGGTCCTTCGACCTGTTTGAGGTTTTGTTTTACTTTTATTAACTCTTCAATTTTAATTCTTTTTGATCTAGATTTTGTTGAATAAAATTTAGTTTTTTGATACTTCGGTCTGTTCGTTTTCATTTTTAATCCCCTTTTTACTTGAAATTTGGTCCTTCGACCTTTTTTCTAAATCTTAATTTAATAGAGAAAGAAAAAAACTTGTACTCACCATCTCGACTCATGCCGACGGCAATGCATTTTTTCAGCCGACAATATTGGCAGCGATTGCGATTGATGCGCAATATGCTGCATTGTTGATTTTTTGTACAGGGGCGATATTGAATCTTTTGCTGGATAGAGCGACGGAAGAAGCCCTGAAAGTAGAGAAGGAAAGAGGGGAATTTAATAAAAAAAATTCTTTATGAGAAAAATTTTATAAAAAAAAAATATAAAAAATATTTATAAAAAAAGTTGGAGATAAATGTACCAGACTAGTTTAAATTTTTTTCAAATAAGTTTTTTCAAATATATATAAAAGAATGGAGAAATATGCTTTTTATATATATTCAATGAAAAAAATGGACGATGACAAGAATTGGGCTGAATTTGTGGTTTTTTTTTTTCGATTTTTAAAAATTATTTCAGAATTTAAAAAATTAAAAATTTTAAAAATAAATACTTCTTGAAAAAATATTTTCAAAACTCAATTAAAATTAAATTTAATTTTTTTGAATTTAATTAATTTTTTTCAATTTTTAAGTTATTAAATTAAATAATACATTTTTTTAAAAAAATAAAAAAATATTTTCATTTAAAAAAAAATTAAATATTTTCGAAATTCAATTAAATTAAAAGTAATTTTAATTTTTTGAATTTAATTAATTTTTTCAATTGTTAAATTATTTTAGGAACAAAAAAGTTGTAAAAAATACATATTTTTAAAAAAATATTTTTCAGAATTTTTTTCAAAAATTTTAGACATTTTTCTTTAAATTTTTTTGGAAAATTTTCTAATAAGAAGAGATTCATAGAAAATTATCTACAGCATTTAATATTTATTTTTCTAACTAATTTCAAAATTTTAATATTGAAAATATTTTTCCTAATTAATTTAATTATTTTCCTAATTTTCAAAACTATTTTGGGTTTTCAAATTACTTTCTCATTTCGTTGTTGCTGTTCTACATTTTGTTCCGGCTCACCGCCCTCCTCATTACTTCTCGCTGCAGTTTCATTGTTGTTACTATTATTATTTCTATTAAATATGGCATCATTTTGTTGCTGATCATCGGTGGTGGTGGTTGTGGTGGTGTTCGTGTTTGTGGGTTGGTTGCTGGCGCTGGCACTGGTCTGCTGTTTGCCAGTTGTCTCCAAATTCTCATCGAATTTCTGACACAAATAATTCAAGGTAGTCAAGTCCTCTTCTTTTTTCACCTCATCATCGCAACCCGAATCCATGTCCATGCCACAGCAATTCGGACAATTGCAATCCTCTTCCCCACCGGCCATCAGATAGTCCTCCATTTGGGCACCATCATCATCACTGGAACTGTCACGTTGCTGCTGTGACAATTGTTGGGGGGTACATGTACAACCTATGCTAAGGGAATGTGTGCTGGAGGTGTTGCTGATCATGGAGGAATTGCTGTCGGAGCTATCGCGCCGTTGCTGTTGTTGCTGGTGCTGCAGTTGTTGCTGATAGTTTTGTTGTTGCTGTTTCAGCAAAATGGCAATTTCTTTGTGGGTCTGTTCGGCGAGGTTGAGTTCTTTGTTGCTGTGATGGGGGGCTGAGACTGATGCTGATGTTTGAGAGGTGTTGTTGGTGTTGTTGTTCGGTGATTTGTCTTTGTCATTTTGGGCTAATTTATCACATATTTGTTCTTCCGTTTCTGCCTTCTTGCTGGCCTTCTCCTCTTCTCCGCGGCATCTTTCGTTGCTCTCCCCCCTGACCGGATGGGCATTGTCTTTATGTTGTTGTTGCTGCTGTTCCTTTTGCTTCAATTCGCGGGCATAGCGTATCTTCTTCCAGGGACACTGTTGCGGCTCATAGACATTGGCCTCTGTTTTGGTTTTGGAAGCACCCTTCTCTTCCTCGGCTACTTCTAGGCGGTGTTCTTCACCTGGATGAGGTTTTGGAGATCCTTCATGAGATTGTTGTTGTGGTTGTTCTTGTGTTGTACTAAAATTGTTGTTGTGATATACATTTGTTGTTGTTGTCTTTAGGTGAGTGTTGTTGTTGTCACATGGAGCGGGTGTTGTTGTTGTTGTATTGAGAGCGGGTAATACTACTAGCTGTTGTTGCTGTTGCAAGGAGTTGAGTAAAGGACTGTTGTTGTTGTTATTTGCCATGACAACAACAGCACCACTGGCGGCTGAGGAGGAGGAGGTGTTATTGGAGGTCGTTGAGTTTTGTTGTTGTTTCAGTCTTTTTGGTTGTGCCAATTGTTGAGCTAATGTTTGATGTTGTTGCAATTGTTGTTGTTGAGGTTTTTGTTCCACATAGATAATTTGCTGTGGTTGTTGTTGCTGTTGTTGAGGTATGACAATGTGTTGTTGCTGCTGCTGCTGCTGGTATTGCATTGGCAACATGCTGTTCGCTTGCACCACAGGACTAGTATTTTGTGTCATTTTGGCAGCCTGCTGTTGGGCGCCACCACCACCGCCCATTACCTTCTTGGTTATGGGCGCCGATTCCAGTAATCTCACCAGCGAAGCATGCTGCTTCTTCAATTGTTGGCTTTTGTTCGTTGTTAGCTTTTGTTGCGGGACAGGTTGTGGCAACTGGTGCTGCTGCTGCTGCTGGGGTATTTGAATTTGGTATTGTTGCGGCAGCTGCTGCTGGCCATTGCCGGCCTGCTGCTGCTGGTTGTTGGCCAAGGCAGCTGTGGCCAGGACAACAATTGTGGTGGTCATTTGTTGGCCGCCATTGACCTGTGACTGTTGTTGTTGCTGCTGCTGTTGTTGCGATGGCGGTCCGGCAATGACCGCCTGACCCGAGGCCGTTGTGGCCAAAAATTGTCCATTCCCCAGACTCCGCACCACCTCCAACTGCTGGGGACCTTGATGTTGTAGCTGCGGGTATGTCTGAGTACTTAACTGGCTGGGTGCTGCATGCAAATGATGATGATGGTGATGATGATGATGTTCGGTAATGGCCACCGCCGAGGTGGTTAATTCCTGCATAGCACACACCATTTTTCCGAATTTTTTTCAAAATTTAATTTTTTTTAAAAAAAATTCCTTTTTTTGATTTTTTTTTTTTTTTGGTTAAAAATGACACTTTTGTTGGATTTTCTTTGTGGGGAAAAATCACAATAATTTTTTTTTTGTAAAATTTTTTTTAAAATTTGCTATTGAGGAACATTTTCATGCGCTGCCACTTTTTCTTTACTTTTCCCAAGAAAACAAAGCAGGGCGCCAAATATTTTTTTCAAAACTTTTCTTTACTCTCAATTTATTTCCATTGGCCAGAATTTTATATTTTTTTAAGAAAATTATTATTTTTTTAAAAAGCCTTATTTTTGGCGGCAAGGCTTCAACCACCGTCCGTCCGTCTCAAAAGGTCCCTTTGGCCTTTCTTTTATTATTTTTATTTATTTTCTGGCTTGTTTTGTTTGCTTTCTTTACAATTGTTGTTGTTGTTGTTTTCAATTTTAGCGCAAAAATTGAATTGTTAGAAACGACGCGTGTTTTGTTGTTGTTATTCCACTTTGTTTGCTTCTTGTGGGGGACTTTTCTCAACAACAACAAAAAATGAATTTTTCTTTTATTCTTGAAATAATTAAAATCACACGTAAACACGTCCGTTTAGTTTGACACACAATTAGCGAATGATTGTAGAGTTTTATGGCTCTTTGTGAGGTTCGTGGTGTTTGGGGCCCCAATCGTTTAACGACTCACTCAAATGAGAGGCAGGCCAACACACCAAAGAAAACAACTCAAACTGAGCCCCATTACTCTCTCTCACGCTCACACACTCTCCACACATAGGCTGCTATCTATGGGTACTTGTGTGTGTGTGTCCACTGTTGTGTAGCCAACACGTGAGTCTCAGTTGCATTCGAACCTCCCAAAAAAAAACTGACTCAACTGCATTGCAAAAATTCCGCTCACTCAATTGCTCACTACGCTCCCATAGTGATTTTTGCAAATGCATTTTTTGTTGCTGGCTGTTGCTGCCCCACAGAAGTGGCATTTAGAATCAAAGAGTGCTGGTTGGGGGCGGAGGGGTCTGGTGGCAGCTTAGTTGCAGGGCCAGGTAAGAGGTTCGAGGGTCTGTCGCTCGTTCGTTCTTATGCCACTCTATGTTGTGAGTGTGTATAGAGCTTTGTACGTGACTGCCAGCCAACCAACCAGCCAGCCAGCCAGCCAGCCAGCCAGCTGAGTTGAACTAAACAGTCGTCAACCTCGCGCTACATTGCAATTTTTTTCTAATTTGTGGGCTAACAGAGGACATTCACATTTTGCAAAAATAAATAGAAGCAAAAAATAAAAAACAAACACCAAACGACAACATGAACAACGACAAAATCGTTGCACAAAAAAAAAAAACAGAATAGAACTGAAACAGATCTAAAATAAAACAGCATCAGTTGAGATAGTTCTGAAATATTTTTTTTGCAAAAAAAAAAAAAAAAAAAAAAATACGCTTCTACAGTTGGGCAATAAAATTTTCGAAATTTTTTTGAAAATTAGATTTTTGATAAAAAGTTGCCATGAAAAATATTTGAGTTGCCAGCGAAAAGCTTTGTAAGGCAATTGGTGTCATGTTGGGCGCCAGTACACAATGATCAAAAGCTAATGGCGCAGGCCTTGAAATAGGGAGTACTCCAGGGCGGAGTGATATATTCACCTCTATCTTTCTGTCTCAACACTTTTCAAACGAATAGGAACTTTGCAACCAAATTTGAAACGTTGGGCGCCACTCGGACATTTACTTCAGAAAGAAATAGATTAAGCCTCACAGAGTGTCAAAGAAGGGATCAAATTAATTAATCTCAGTCTATTTATGAAACTTTTAGGAGTTTCCGTCCTTAATTTTTTTTATAAAAATATTATCAAAATAATTGGGCGCCATTTGTACTTGAAGTCGATGAACAAAAAATCTCAGGCGCGTAAAATCAAACAGACAATTTCCCAAGGCTGGGTTATATATTTGCAACTATTTAAACTCTACTTTTCGGGAATTTGATTTTCTTTAGAACTTCCAAACGAAATACCCCTTTGAAACGTTGGGCGCCACTTGCGCATGCACTTCAGAAACATGAAGTTGAAGACCCTTAGAGCTTCTAAAAAGGGATAAAATTAATTTATCGATGCCTTTTTAACATATAGGAGTTAAATTCCATCAATTTTATATTTTTTAAAAAAATAA